AAAATTAAAATTATTTATACATTTTAATTTTTTGTATTTTTTTGACCGCACCCTCGACTAATTCCTTCTCATATCGAAACATCTACACCTTCATTTCGATTCATCAAGATTTGTCCAACACGCCTAACTCAGAGCGAGATGAATCTACGCTACCTTAAAATTAACCGATAAAATACAGGAGACCTAATTTAACAATAAATTTTTAGTCCCTAATGTATATCTTAATTACCCAAGTAACTAGTTTCACTTGAAGCATGTTTGCAAAAAATACGTTATATTGCCATCTGTTTTGACTTAATCGATAGATATTTATTACTGTATATAAAAAATACCATAATTTGAACGTAATAATAAAACTTGATAGTAACTCCTGAAGCGTTTTATGAGAAATTGGACTGAGCCATCGTAAAAAATATAATGGATTTAGGTTTAAATGAGGCGTATAGTGGAATTGCTTGTTTTACTTCATGATCCAATAAGCACCAATTGAGAAAATAAGATGATTATGAATCATTTTATTTGTGACGTAATGAAAACAAAATTAAATGACTGTTCTATTTAATAATTAATAAAATTATGAATCTAGATAAGATGAACTAATTGATAACAAGGCGTGATAATATGCTGTTGAGTAGAGTATCACCATCCTGTATAATACTTTAAAATTATTTTCAATAATCATTAATCTTTGTATTGGAACAAGAATTAACATAAAAATTTTAGCCATCCTTCAAAATTTGAGGCTATGTATTTCAAGACCAGTCGAAAAATCCTAGGCTGGGACACTCCACGGCTGGTTGTTTCAAGATTTGCCACCAAATTCTCAAGTCACGCCAAAATGATCTTCGGAATTCCACATTACTAAGTGTCACGTCATTTTAAAAAGGCGGATTTGGATTTTATTTCTTGACGTATCTTGGACATTTATGAAGTCAAACAAAAATTTAATATAGTTTCGATTAATAAAACTATAGAAACAATTGAGAGAAAAAAATCATAGAAGTTAATAATCTGAACCGTAATTAAATTCCCTAAAATATAACAAAATCATAAAAAAAAAAAAAAAAAACAGACAGTATTAGTGTATATGTCGATTTTTTGTTTTGTTTTTTTTGTTTTTTTTTAGGCCTTTACCAAAAAGCAGCAAGAAAATTTATGTTAGTGTTGAGAGAAACATATAGAGTGAAAACTTTGGATACTGGAATAATATAGAAGTTTCACTGTAATAATTTGATGTTGTTGTTTTTTTAAATTTATATTCTATTATAATTTTATTTATTTATTCATTTATTACGACAAAACATTGGTGGCGACTATATGGATACAGCTTTGAGAAATTAATAAATCCTGAATTTGTTTTTTTTATTGGCTTCCAAAGTTGAGCTCTTTTCAATTATCATGACATATATTGATTAAGTTTTTAATTATCAACAAATACATTATTGTTCTTATCAGCTCATTTTGGATCTTGCGTATAACTAGTCAGTTTCGTAGAACCATCGATCCTTATAATATATTTAGGAAGGACAGTTGTTCGATAGCCACTACAGGCTGGAAATGGCTTGGAAACACTTTCAAACATTAAATGCTTCAATCGCAATCAATCCCTGTTTCTGATCCAAAAATCATTCCTAAGTGGAATAGCATCTGCTTGTAAGAGAAGTAAAAAGCAATTAATTCTGTCATAAGTACAACGTGCTTAAAATTTAACACTGATAGTTTACTAAATATACAAGCATTTATAAATATGTTATTTAAACTAAGCCGGGATTTATATTTTTGATATTAAATTTAACACATTACTATCTAATGGGTATATATTTAAAAGAATTCAAAATAATAATTAAGATTATTATATATACAAATTAATATTATTATACAAAAATACATATTTGTATTTTACATTTTATGAAGTGAAATATAAAATAGCTTGTTTTTAACTGTATTTCCTTTTTAAAATACAAAAAATTATTTGTATTTTATTTCCAATAAACTAAAATACAAAAAATATATATTTTTTTAAATACAAGTATGTTTTTTACCACTTTCTTCTTTATTTTACATTTTAAGAAGTAAAATATAAAATAGATTGTTTGTAACTATATTTCCTTTTTAAAATACAAAATACAAAAAAGTATTTGTATTTTAGTTTATTGGAAATGAAATACAAACATTTGAAGTCTAAACATTTACCATTTTATAAAAATTTAATTTGTTTGAAGAGTTAAATATATATATATATATATATATATATATATATATAATAAATTTTAAAAAAATGTATTTCATTTTAAATACACAAAATGAATTATCAGAGTAGTTATATACTATTTTTAGGTGTGTATATATATATACTTTACAGAATAGGTTTCTATTATATGCTGAAAATCCACTAGAAAGTATTTTGTATTTGAAAAGTGTTTTTTGAAATAAAAAAACAAAATACTTTTAATATTTTTTATTTGTAATACATTTTCTGACAAACAATTTAAATACTTTGTAATTAAAATTCACTGTCTGGAAATAATAGTCGAAATTAAAATATTTAATATATATATAATAAAATATAAACTTCATATTCATTTGGATATTCTACTACAGTATACAGTATACATCGGTAATAACCTCTCAAAAACTTTGGCTGCTATTTCTGATTTTTGTACCAATAAACTTTTGCAACTCGTTAGTGAAACATTGCGCTACTGTTAGTGCACAAGATCGTATGTAACAATTTTTATGTATGTAAAAACAATATGTAAATAAATAAATTATATCACACTGTTTGTAAACAAAAATGCTTTTCAGAAACACAGAAAAACCTGAAATTAGTGACACATTTTTACCCGCTGGCAAGGTGATATACAGTTGGCTTATTGTCAATTGGTTTAGACGCCAAGGGTTTGTAAATAACTTACAAAGTAGGCAACGAAAGGAAGTTAGTCACTATCAGGTGTCAGTGTGAAGGACATCTAAAATCTTAGGTCCTGTGCATCTAAAATCATACTAACCTGATTTTAAAAAACATCTTTTATTTACATTTGTATTTATTTATTTCAAATTCCACTTGTGAATGACTGCCATGACTATCTAAACGTCGAAGGAGATTACAAAGTGTAATTTTAAGGGGCTTAGTGGGGAGAGGATCGGAGGGAGGGGCGCATTCTGGTGCTTCGTGTATCCTCCCGCAATCACTATTTATAAAAGTGTATCCTGAGGTATGCCTCTCTCTTCTGGTTCCTGAATCTCAAACTGAGACCGTTAAATAGGCTAGCATCGACTCAGTGGACAGCTCTACTTCGGATCACCAAACATATAGGGCTACGTCGCATGAAACAGTGCAGGTTCTAGCGGGGGTGGTACCACTTGACGTCCTCCTGCGAGAAGAAGAGCATGATTACAAGAAAGCGAGTTCAACGGGTCCTTAGGAGAGGATTATTGAAAACCCTAATTAATGGAAAACGATAATGAGGGGAAACATTTGAAGAGTGGAGCCTACCGAACAACTCCGGTAGGGAGAGGGGCGGGGTGGCCAAACGGGTAACGTGTGTGCACAGCACCGCGCTCGGGTGACAACCTGATAACAGAAGTTGGAGACAATAAAATTACGAGTTCTCTTCCCCGTCCTTGGAGGTCTTTCAAACCTCCCGTTTTCACTCACTGGTCCAGAAAAACCACGATATAGCCTAAAAGGCGGGGTAGGGGAGAAAAAAAATGCCGAAAAGGAGTACCTTAAGAAAATATTTTCTTCCCCACATTTTTTGATATATTTCATAATTTCATATAATTATTCATTCATCTTTGTGTTGTGTTAAGATCTTCAACATGATTGATACATTTCGTGACGGTGTAATTCATTATATGGCAGATTGTTTTTTAAAACAAAATTTTTGCATATAGTAGCATATGGTTGAAATATTTTAAAAACCTATGTAAGCTCTGATTTCGACCATCATAATAACAAACTTTCATTTATTTGTTTTTAAAACTTACGTGCGGCAAATATGTACACGTAATATTTTAAAGTCGATCAGGACACCTTAGTTTTAAGTAAATGTCCAAAACGTATTATGCTTGTCGCCCATTCTTTGTGCTTTGTGCATAGAGTGTGTAGTCACTATGGCTGGAAACTTTTCAACAGCTCTTAACGCATCCTAAACAAACAGGACATTACTTCAATTCAGGAAATAAGATAAACTTGTTTACAAAATAGCAATAAAGACATTACAGCTGCCAGGAGAAGAATCGTACTTTTATGGATTTCCTGAAAATAATTGATACATCTGGTGGGTTTCAGTTTTTTTTTTTTAGAATGACTGCAATCGCATACAACTCATTTATAGCATTTGGTAATCTATGAAGGGAACCTTACATCGGTAGAGAATATTTTTATCTGATGAAGTAGGATTTACTAAGAATGGTGTATTTAATTTCCTGAGTATCCATTATTGGACAAATAAAAAATCGCATGACAAAACAAGGTATAACAAAAATTTAAGGTAATGAAATATTATTATTAATTAATATTCCAAAAAAATGAAACCCAACATATGTTAGAATTATTTTCATGGATATAAATATTAGTATAAGATTATATAGTTAGACATTTAATGCTTTAACTTACAATTTAACTATGTGTAAAAAGAGGACGTGCTTTATCATTTAAAGTATTTTTTTTAAGTAACATTATTTATTATATGTAGCACATTACAGTGTGTAAAATTGATGATTGTTGTTTGCGGTTTGGGGGCAAAAACCTGCTGATGCTTATCATTGCAGTAATATCTATACGAGTTGATTATTTTTTCCTCGTATAATACCTATTATAAAAGTAAGTATACTAAAAAAAACAGGAAAAACATAATACATGATGATAAAATTAATATTCAAAATAATATCCTCTTATTATTGTAAAATATTTATATTTTTTTACATGAATCAGATATAAATTTAGTTATGACTGTACAATATTTAATAGTTATGTATATATAAATTTAATTTTTTTTAAATTTATTATGTTACAGAAAGTGAAGTTAAGCAGGCCATGGAGAAAGGGGACATAGGCCTTGGGGAAATAAAACACAAGTAAGTCTTATAAAATTAAAGTTTATAAACTACAAATGATAAGTCCTGTACAGTTAAAAACAATAGAATATGATAGAAAATAACTTTATTGATTCATTCAATAATATAAAAATAGTATTGATTCATTAATCTAAAAACAATCTGGTACGCGCAACGCACTACTTTCACTTACCTTTCTACATTGAATTGAATTTTTTTTTCTAGCACTTTTAATTGAGCTATAGCTTAAAGTTTACATCTAACAAATCATTAAGATCACTAAAATAACAAAAACCCTATTAATTATTTCAACGGTAGACAATAACAACCTCGGTAATCCATCTGTTTTTGTAGACCACATAATTCCAGTCACTGAGCAATATATATATGCCTAGAGAGATTTGAAAGTATATCTCTATATTCAATCAATAATTGATTATGTATTCTTCGCATATTAGTTATTAAATTGTTATTTTCCATTGGAAAGTTTACTACAAAGAAATTTCGAGATTTTCATTTCCTGTCATAGATAGGTCAAAAGTTTTTACACTATTTTTAAGCGGATAATGTTTGAATTTCACAAAGGGAAAATTCATCAAATTATTCACTAATTTAATTTTTTAAAAGGTTAAACGACAATTTTTCAGAATGAACTAATGATAGATACTTCATTATTTAAATATAATATCATATTTAGAATTATTAAACTACAGTAAATGTATTTAAGGTTATAAACATATGCTTTATTCATCCATGAAATATTTTTATAATTCAGTTCTTCTTTCACATTAGTACTATGAAATAGTATTTTTAAACAATGCCATTGCCTTGATTATATTTTAAATAGTTAAGTAGTTAGTAAGTAAATTTCATTGATTTCCTTGAAAACATGTGATTTCCGTTAAACAATATTAGTTTTCACAAATTATTCTCTCCTATAAGAGATAGAACATTTTCCATAGACGTGTTAAATCAAAAAGTTACTTATACGGCCTTGAAGAGCAATAATTCAGCTTTCCAACGGTTGTAGAAACATTGAATTAGGATAAAATCCTGAGGAGTTAAGAAAGTTTTTGTTAACGACAGGCAAAATCATCATAATAAAGTCGTTGCCATGCCTATCACAGCTCTTCTATCCTATATATTATTTCTAAAAGGTTTTTTTTTTTTTTTTTTGTCTATATGCCATAACTTCGTCAATTCCTTATCAAAACCAATGATCGACCACTCATTTTGAAGATATTCTTTTCCATCATATGCGAAAAATAGTCTTATCTCCCCAAAATTTCTGGGAAAAACGTTACGAAGGAAAAGAAACTTAATTTGTGAATAACTCAAAAAGTATGTATTTTTTCTGAATTGTACTCATGATAATTAGAAAGATTACTAAATTACCTACAAAAAAAATCGTAAAAATCCGACAATTATTAACAAAGATACAGTCTATTAGTTTTGGTATACTTAATAATGTCTTCCTCTTTAAATAAATTGCATTCAGGAGTAGAATAGTCTAATACACTTTTTTTTCTGGCTGATATATTATGTTTATTATTTCTTAAAGGCATTTGTTTGTTCTTACATTTTATTTTTTTTAATAATCCAGAAAATCCCATGGTCGTCTTTATTTTTCTTTATTAACTTTATTATATTTCTAGTCAGCGTTTAAAAATAGATCTTAGCAAAGCAATTTTTACAAATATTTTGTTATATTATCTTAAATGGAATATTGTAATCGACTAAGGAAAGAATATTAATTCTTTCCTTGTATAACACATCGGATCTACTTATTTCCATATTGTTTTGCTATTACTTCGCTAAACAAAATTTTCTGCGAATTATTTGATATTAATGTAGTATTTGATATTATTTTTTTTCTAAAAGTCTCCGCTTTCCAACAATATATCATACATATATCACCATTCATCATATCAATCATTCTGACTAGTATTTCCGGAAATTCATTTTCGACCTCAATACACATTTTTCTTTTTTTCTACATTTTTTTAATATTAGAATTCTTTCAAAAGTTATGTTAAGCATTTTTTCGTAACTCTTAATAAAGGGAGATGGTTAATTATTTAAAATAAACCACATACATTAGAGGAAGACATTTAACATTTAAGAACTGTAAAGTGACATCAATGGGGGTAAGACCTCAATGATATTAAATACCACTTAATTATACAATGATACACCGCGTTTAATCAAAATCGTTAGAGCCGTTATTGTGAAAATTGTAAAAATGTGCATAACAGTTGATTTAAAATGCCATTTCCGGTTAGGCTTTTCATTTTTTAGCTAGACTTTTCACATACAAACACACACACACACCATTTTTCGGGCCTTGGTTAGCTCGACTCAGGGGATCTCAAAACGTGTATTTCCGTTTCAGATTCGAAAATTTTCACTATCGCAATACTTTCCCTTACTATATATATATATAGGCAAATGAAAGTAAAAAATTAATCATGTTTCTAATTATATTATTTCATTGAAATAATAGGAAGTATTCATCTACCACTTACTTCAATTTCATTCAGGGGCATTTATCTTTACGAGGTGAACTGATATTATCAAACATCAGTTTTTAATTGAGGTTTCCATCTTCCTGAAATTTTATTGTTGTGATTGTCCTTTGTCCTTAGTCTTCAGGATTAAGGACCGAATTAACTCTTTAAGTATGAGCGGGGTTCACTCGATAGAATGTTCGAGTTAATATCGGGCAGACGGGAAAGGAACTGAAAAGCCAATTTTTTTTTTTAGATTAATTGTTTATTGATAAATATTAAAATCTGTCTCAATAAAGGACACTTAGAGAAAGCACATTCACACCATATTTACAAAATCAAAAAATAAATAAGGTAATTTCAAAATAATATACAGCGAAGTAAGAACAAAATAAAATATCATAATGAGGAAAGAAAATATAAATAATAGTAATAATAAAATGAATATAAATAAATTAAATTAAATTAAAATGTTTAAAAAAAAAGTAATAATAATAATATCTATTTACACTATTTACAGAAAAGAACCCATCTGATCAATAGTTTTATTTTTATTTGTAGTCACCATTTGGCAAACAGGAGAGAAGGACGACCATAAGGGAGTTAGGTGATTACCGGTTTTTATTTAATAATTTACTTAAATTTGATATTTATTTGTTAAATTTCGGAATTAATTTTTATTATCATTAGATTGTTTTGTAAAAAAAAAATTGCAAATTTTTATTGTTGTTGTTAATTTTATTTTTTTATATTATCTACTATACACAAGGGATATATATCTAATATATATATTAATTCTACTATACATAACGACTTAAACACCCCAACAGTAAAATCCTACATCTACGACAAATACACTACATTTCATTCTTCAACCCAGAATCACTCCAATCCTCTCGTTCTTTCTATCTCCTGCTCCCTGTTACCTGAACAACGCAGATTATTAAGAAAATGGCCAAGAGACCTACTACATCAATAAAAACCAAAACAAGAAAAAACACCACGACTGTACAAACACAACAAATTTGCTAGATGCGCAACCGCGCAGGTGCAAATTGCATAAAATACAAATAAAATAAATAAAAATATTATCTAGCCTAATGAAGGTCTGATCAAAGACTGAAACAGGTTGCGCATAAAAATATATACAGAAAGACAAGGTATTTTTTACTGAATTTATATTTCAATCCCGTGACATCAAGCCTCAATTCAAGAAATAATAAATCTCATTATGTCAGGCTCGCCATAAAGTTGGTAAATTTCCGTATTCGTCTTCCGCCTCCAGTCCTCAACAATCTTTATCTGTCCAAATATTCGTTGAAGGATCTTTCTTTCGAAAATGAGAATTTCCCTTTCCTCATTACTTGTGATGGTCCAGCTCTCTGATCCATAAGTTAGTGCAGGTCTAATAAGAGTTTTGTAGTTTTGTATATGAGCCACTTAGCACGGTGGAAGAGATAGAAACATCTCAGGTGATTTCTGAGACGAAAAAGGCACCTGTTGGCTATGATGAGTCCCTGATTTGTTTCCATGGAGATGTTGTTTCCACAACTCACTAATGATCCGAGGGTACACAAATTGGTCGAGGTTATGGAATAAGAGTTGGCCCATCACCACGGTCTGTCGATCTGCTGTCTGTGTTCCAAGCCCTACTTTCATATATTTTGACTGATCCTGGTTTACACGCAACCACATAAACTTCGCAGCCTCCCTCAACTTGAGAAAAGCTTTTCTTAAGGACTCCAGAGATCTTACAATAACACCCAAGTCATCAGTGAAGCCAAGTACCTCAGCAAGCCGGTTGAAGAAGGTGTCAGAGGTCTGTAGGCGTGGATCATGAAGAACATTCAGGCTAGGTTGAACAACAGAGAGGCGAGTCCGTCAGCCCGTCTAACACCTCTAGTTAATATAAATAGTGGAGAGAGATCCGAGTAAACTCTCAAAGTACATGTTGTGCCATCCATGTTTATTCTGATCAGCCGAACCAATTCCAAGCTCTCTTAAAGCTGCGTACAACTTAGGCACTCCTAAAATCAACAATGATGGTAAGTAATCATCCGATACTCCAGATACTTCTCGAGTATCATCCTGAGACTAAAAATTTGATCGACTGTAGTCTCAAATTAAAGTCTGTAATCTCCCACTTCTGAAACCATATTATTTTCCAATTTCTCTCTCAGTAAATGAGAGAAATTTCTTATAAATGATGCTAGGAACCCGGCAGAATATCAAAGTGAGGGGATCACTGCGCAGGTATTTCATCCTTTTCTGTGGTCATGGATCTACATGCCCTAATACGTAGTTTGAAACCGTTCCTACTCTGTTTAATCCTCTGATATTAGATTCCGGACACCCTCTGATTTCTGTATTCCTCCATTTCCTCAAACTGTTTCCGCTCCCATTTCCTCTTCTCTCTACGGTGGGACCTTTTTTCCTTTATTCTCCTGTTCGAATACGCTTCAGATGCTCTTCTCCATTTCTGGACCATCTTTAAGGATTTTCAGTGGCCGTCACACACTCTCCGTCGGACCAATGCAATCCCATTCCTTCTTCTTCATTCCCTAGAGCCACTCTTTTAGCCAATATTGAGACGACATTCCATTGTTACTTAACAGAAGCCTCCACTACACCGATATCAAGCCTGCTGCTCGCTAATCACTCGTTTCCTAAGTTTGACTATGCCTTCTAGCACTCTCTTCTTTTCCATGGCCTTCCTTGCGTTAGATATTTTCGCTCTCGTTCTTAAACCAACAAATAATGGCCATATATCTTTTATATGCAGTAAATTCAAAACATGCTCTATCGATTTCAAACATAATTAAATGTATTTTAAATTTAAAACATGGTTTAAAGTAGAAAGTAGCTAAGGAAAGAAATGAATAATTACAGAACAATATTCTTAAAGGACTATAATTTGATTATTTATTAAATCTAAACCGGAACTATAAACAAATAAATATACAAATCTAGGCAATTCAAATAAATTTAAATTGCTGCTTGTAAAACTCCCCCCCCCCCCCAAAAAAAAACATAAGATGTTAAATTAGAGGAGAAAAAATAACATGAATGTACACTTGGTGTAGAAAAATTCTTTCTTATTTTTTAATGAAATGTACCAACATAGACCCAGACTTTTGATTATTATTGGTGGGGGGAGGAGGAAGGAAGGAGGCAATGGACTAAAAAAAAAAAAATGGCGGTAGTTTTTATTATGAGTAAAAATTCATCATAATTACTACTGTTTTTTTTTTTTTTTTTTTTTTATAAATTGCTGCAAAGAAGACACAGATATGAAATTTATTGAGATGTGGGAGAGTGTACGGTAGGAGGGTCTGGCCCACCGTTTACCACTACTGCGGGGGGATATGCAATGGAGGAACAACCTTTACCAATAGTCTGTGGGCCAGACCCCCTTACCGTGCACCCCCCCCCCCCCCCCCACATCCCTATAAATTGCATATCGTTGTGTTTCTTGTAACTATTTATTAAAAAAAAACCAATGTTCCCACAAAAAAAAGTGAACGCACTGCCACAAAATGGCGTCCAAAGATGGCGGATTGACGACTTTGACTTTAGTTAGTTTTTTCATCACTGAGAATCAGCATTTGGCTTAATTGCCTCATAATTGGTCTTTTATTAAAGCTGAATAGTCATAGAATAATAAAACATAAAAAAAATATTAAAAAATAATTGGTTTAGGCTATGAAAAACACCAGTAAAGTCAATTTGTAATTAAACGGCCTACAATAACGCAAAACGTGCTGAACTAAAACATCTGGAGAATATATTTCTCTTTCCAAAACGTTGATTATTTTTAAAAAACTTTTGAGCAGTTCCGTAGAAAATGTACATATGCGGCAGAAAAGCGGTACTGACGTGGGTGCCTACAGACCTCTACCACACCATTTAGTACACATAAATGGCTTAGTTATAGTGATATAATAACAGTTTTGGTACATTACATTGGTTTTATTAACGAACAAATATTAATGCAATAATTTAATTGTAAAAAATAAAAAAATAATTTTTTTTTTTAAATTTATTATTTATTTTTTTAAATTTAACCTCCTTTATTCTATACGTAGGTAGTTTAAGAAGACCTCAATTGTAAAAATGATATAATTATTATAATAAAACTTAATTAAAAAATACTTTACTAAATATCTTGATTTTTTTTTTTTTTTTTTTTTGACGGAATAGATAAAAAGGACCAGTATCCATTATATAGCTAAATGAATGTACAGTAGACAGATGAACAGAATATTTCAAGATGCTGTAAGAGGGGGTCAATTGCAGTTTGGATGATATTAAGTGGACATCGTCTACATATAATGGATAATGGATACTGGTCCTTTTTATCTATTCCAAGGTTTTGGCACTTCCGTTCTCGTTCGTTTAATGTATTTTTCCAATTTTCTGGTTCAATTTCGCGTTTTTCTTCATTTTGAGACCAAATCCAAACACTCAGTTTTGGTTTATAGAAGAAAATATAGCGTCACCCTTTCTATCTTTCTTTGTGCATAGAGAATAATTCATTCAATATTAAAATTTCCTATTTATTTATGATATAGTCCAACTTCTGCACAAAATAAAGGAATTAAAAATTAATTTTTTAATTAGTGATATATGAGTTTTACTAAACAACCCGGTAGCTATTCATTATATATAGTTCAGATTAGGTATATATTATTTTAGTTTATAAAACAGGTATTAATATGACTCTTTTCCTGGGAATTATATAAAAATTTTAATTAAGAATCAGTAAATATACAAAACAATGTTAAATTGCAAACGTTAAATAAAAAAAAAATCAAGATATTTAGTAAAGTATTTTTTAATTAAGTTTTATTATTATAATTATATCATTTTTACAATTGAGGTCTTCTTAAACGACCTACGTTTAGAATGAAGGAGGTTAAATTTTAAAAAATAAATAATAAATTTAAAAAAAAAAAAATTATTTTTTTATTTTTTACAATTAAATTATTGCATTAATATTTGTTCGTTAATAAAACCAATGTAATGTACCAAAACTGTTATTATATCACTATAACTAAGCCATTTATGTGTACTAAATGGTGTGGTAGAGGTCTGTAGGCACTCACGTCAGTACCGCTTTTCTGCCGCATATGTACATTTTCTACGGAACTGCTCAAAAGTTTTTTAAAAATAATCAACGTTTTGGAAAGAGAAATATATTCTCCAGATGTTTTAGTTCAGCACGTTTTGCGTTATTGTAGGCCGTTTAATTACAAACGGCGCTTGATTTGTAACTTGAAAATTTTTTTGTTAAAAAAATTGACTTTACTGGTGTTTTTCATAGCCTAAACCAATTATTTTTTAATATTTTTTTTATGTTTTATTATTCTATGACTATTCAGCTTTAATAAAAGACCAACTATGAGGCAATTAAGCCAAATGCTGATTCTCAGTGATCAAAAAACTAACTAAAGTCAAAGTCGTCAATCCGCCATCTTTGGACGCCATTTTGTGGCAGTGCGTTCACTTTTTTTTGTGGGAACATTGGTTTTTTTTTAATAAATAGTTACTAGAAACACAACGATATGCAATTTATAGGGATGTGGGGGGGTGCACGGTGAGGGGGTCTGGCCCACCGTGTACAAGATCTCCACGTCCAAAATGAATTAAAAAGTGAATCCATTCAAATTTGTGAGTGCAATATTAATAAGTTATTGAAAAAAGTGATGACGATGAGGTTTGTAATCGTCTGTATTTAATATAACAAAATAGAATAAAATTATCACATGACTTTATTATATGTAAAATACAACATTAAATTTTTCAATTATCATACTTCTTTTATACTTTAATTAATAATTGGATTTAAAGTGTGGCCAAACATATTATTAGATATGCTAACAAAAGTTGTGGTTCAAGAATATGATGAAAACATTTTTTTTAAAAATGACAACATTTTAAAGTAGCTGTAACTGTAGATTGTTTGGAGATTAATTTAAATATGTGTATATATTCTAATAGGGAATTTAAGTTTCTACAACTTCTTTTTGATGAATTTCTTTCTCTGATGAATATTGTAAACGATTTGAAGTAAAATTTGATGAAAAATGTGAGACAAATTGATTTTTTTTTCGAAAATATCATCTTTTACCAAGAGCATAACCCAAAAACAGTTATGATTTCGACAAAATCTATAAAATAAAAGTTTTAGATTATTTTATAAACTTTAATTTAGTATCCGATAAATTTCCCTTGCAACGCATCGTTTTCAAGATATAAGGGAAAATCCAAAAATTGCGACCTTTCTTCTCTCCTTTTCTTAATTGATTTTAGTTTACACATTTTACTCATTCATTTAACTTATTTATTATTGATTTTATTTTTTTAAACATTTTATTGAGGGGGCGATCGCCTCCTCCCCCCTCGTAGTCTGCGCCTATGAGTACCACTAAACTTCTATTTATTCCTCCAGTCATGAGCGTATGTGGGTTTAGTGCCCTCTCTTAGTCTCCACCGGATTCCCATCCTAGTGATGCGGCTGAGAGAGAAGCGCTGGGAATTCTTGGAGTCTTGCCTTATCCTCTACACGTGGGGGAAAGGGCCTGACTCAGAGCTCCCTCGGCTGACTGTAAATATTGTAAATAATTATGAAATTGTTTTTATTTATTTTTTAATGTTGTCTCATGTTTTATTTATTCTGTTATTCCAAGTTTTCTTTTCTTTTGTTATCATCTTTTTTTTCTTTTATTGTATATATGGTATATTTGTTTTTCATACATCCTAAATACTCAATACCCTTAATTGAGGCAAAATGTATTTTTTGGTTCTCAATAAAATATTATTAGTAGTAGGTGTAGATGATGCTCTTCCGTGAAAAAAAAAAAAAAAAAAAGAAGTTGATTGCTCTGAGAAACTAATATAAGTAGGAATTCTAACTATCTTGTTTGCCAAAATAATGTATACAACTATTATAATCTTATTAAATCCATTGCATTTTTCATAAATTATGTGTATTTTTAAATGTGATCATTATTTTCTGTATAGGAAAAATGGAAGCCAGGCTAGTCCTAATAGCGTTGAACAAGGAGATATTCCTTACGATCCCCATGTACATAGGCAGGTGGAACATCCAACCACGTAAGTATATATGCAAAACAGTGTCTTTCGTTTATTTTTTATTTTGCAAATCGGAAAAATGTAAACATAGCGCAAGTTTTTAGCACCATTTTTCCGTTTATTGGTTACTTAATTTCAAAAAACTAAAGAAGTAAATCTGGCGGCCTTCAGAATGAAAGAACTCTAATGCTTTTGTATAATTTATATTTCCTAGATCATTTATATTTACAATTTTAAAATAATACTCAGATAATATTAATATTATGCCAACTTTTTCTCAAAATAAAAAAAAAAAATTCAAGAATTTTGTTTCATTAGTAACATTTTTAATACCTATTAATTCACGCGATTAAATATTTCAATAATGACTTGTTTTTTTACAGAAATACCGAGACCCTCATTCACTTGCTTAAGGGAAGTCTGGGAACGGGAATCCTCGCCATGCCTGAAGCGTTCAAGAATTCGGGACTCGTAGTCGGGTCTATAGCTACCGTCATCATCGGTGCCATATGTACATACTGCCTTCATGTTCTGGTCAGTGGATAGAATGATTTCTATTGCTTACGAAAATATTTTAAAAAAAATTAACGCGTGTGTGTGTCTGTGTGAACAGTTTATCTCAAAAACGAAAAGTCTTACGAACCTGAAATTATATATTTAAGATAGGTATATGCCTCTTGTGTTACAGCAACATTTTCATCAAAATGGAATAAGTGGAAGTGCCAATTTATATGATCGATTTACACACATACATAGATAGAGTGGATTCAATACATGAAAAATACACCTTCCAGTACATGTGAGATTCATCTTGATTACATCAATTCAGCATAAGATCCCTCGGACACTCTCGACGTATAATAGAGCTTTATTACTGAATCAATGAATGGGGAATAATAATAGAATATAGCAGTAAAATATAAAAAAAAAAATATTGTGGCTTTCTAACCTTAATGCGGCCTCCAATGACGAAAAGGTTCCACGACTATAGTATTAATAATTTAAGTTTATCAAGAAAGCCTACTCAACTCTTACAATTGTTGAAGCTACTTAAATTATATCGTTCATATTTAAGGTTTGCAGTACTCTTTTGTAACAGTTCGCTTGTTTTCTAAACGGAAATTAGTTCTGTTACCAGTAAGTGGGAATTATTTGTGTTATTATTTTTTCTTATTAATTAATAAATTTCATATTATATTATACGAGAAATAAACCTACTCTTTTTCAATTGAAGTAGGGCTTACCACAGCTTTTTGAAGCACTAAAAAATAAGACTGAAGAGAAGTTGGTTGGGGTGTTAATAAATAAAAACTCTTTATTTTTTTTACTGAACACCACAGCCAACTCCCCTTCAACTTTCACTCCACTCAACCATCAATGTTCTTTTTAAAAAAAAGTGTTGATCTTTTGAAATTTCAATTAATACTCATTGTAACTAGCTAAAACTATGGTCAATTACAAAATATCAATGAAAACTGCAATTATCTGTCAATTCTATTAATAATGAATAGTTAATTAGTACTAATTAAGAGGCTGTGATAAAGCTCTATAGTTCTAGTTATGTAATATTACAATTGTACCTAGAAAAAAAATCCAGTAATGATTGATTTCAGATTTTAACGGTGATAAGTACAAAGGACCTGTAAAGACAACATATTAATAAATACAATATGAATTTCCGCTGATGACTTTAGGTTAAAATAAAAATGATGTTGTGTAGAATATTTTGATTAGACATTGTAAGAAACACATAGAATCCTGAATATTGCCCCAGAACGTCAGACCTCGACAATTTAAATACCACAACGATCCATTTTTCCAGAAAACGAAATGTGTTTCCCACAAGTTCATTATATCAACCCTTTTATTCACAAAAATGTTGCGAAATTCCCAGGGGTCTACTTTGATTAGAAGAATTCTATTGTACAATATAGAGCCAAAATATCAGAAAGGACTAAATTTATTAAAGATCAGGCTGGCACTCATATTCGCGAGGATCAGACTGCCGAACGTTGCTAATGATGTACTTGACTCTGAAGAGGTCTGCAGTTGATTAAAGGGCTGTCGCTTCAACCTCAGCATGTTCCTTAACATTGAAATTATTGGACCCAGTATATCAACTACTTCGCCTCTGCATCTGGCAAACTCATTTTGAAGAAATCCTTTTCGTACATAACCGAATGGAATTTTCAATTTAATGATACATATAAGTGCTGGACAAATGGATAAATATGATGAGTAACATGTCTAGAGCTCTGAGAAAAATTAACTTAAATCATTTATATTCTCTAAACCATAGGCATATATCCTCTTTTCTTTTCACATTAATCAATTCAGATCTAAATCAATCAAATTTATCTGAATAGGGAAACAAAATATTAAAAGTATATCATTTTAAACTTTGTTTTGAGTCATCATATTTTTTTTTTCAAAAATGTCACTTGTCACTTGATTCTTCAATTGTATATAGAGAACATAAAATTTTCTGTTAATTTTTTTTGTAATAACAACAAAAGACGAATTACTTGCAAACAACTTTTACAGCAATCTTCATAATTCCAAAAAATCAATAACTAATTTGAACTAAATATAAAAAAAAAGCAGTGCAACTTCAGTTTATAAGTATATTCTTTCCTACGCTTAGGAATACATTTTTTCTTGAAAAGGATATACATTAAAAACATCTTCTCTAATAATTATTATTATAAACTCCAAATCATAGATCCTGAATTATAGTTAATAATACAATTGTAATTGTGGTTGATGAGGCAGTTATACTGACTCTACTTGGCAGGCTTTATTTTTTTTGATAAATAGTTTCAAAAGTAGATAGAATATAATTTTTTTTTTTTTTTTTGGCAAATAGAGGTCGCTCCATTGATAAAAATTGTGTTATGTGAATCTTATTTCTGGCTGCAAATACTGTCTTAATAGGTCAGGGCATTTCTACAAGTTTATCAATAATAGATGAAAACCCTTCAATTGTGTTGTGTTAAAATACCTATTTATATAAATTGTCAAAAAATAAATTTACTGTAGTATTCAATATTTTTAACAGTATCCAAGCGTTTCACTAAAATTATATAATAAAACAAAATCTATGTCATGACTCTGTAAGGATAAACGGACGAAATAATTCTCCAATTTATCGCCCTCAAACCCTTACCCTACTCTGTATGGCTAAACGCATTAATACAAATAAATATATTTCTTATTATACATCAAATACTGAATTATTCATTATTAATTATTAATTTCGTTAATAGTTATTCGTCGGTTACAAGTTTACTACAGTTATTCCCGTTTAATATTTTTTTTAATGTTTCATAATATTCGAATTATAAAACATTCGTGTTAGAAATTGATTGTTTCATTTTTTTTTGGAAATTATTTGATTCGTGTGATCCGCGAAATAAATCTCGACCACCTCACTTTAGAATAGGATAGAACGAGGGAAATGTTTAAAATTTCATCTTCTTTGTAATGAGCTATTATTCAAAAGTATATCTTAACGTGATTCCGTGTTAGAAAGAAAAAAAGGGAAAAAATAGTGTCGAAAACCGTATAATAATGAGTTTTGTTGAACATGTGGACTAAAATATCTCAGGAATTAAACATCAGACCCTATGCAAGGGAAATGTTTAGCATTTCATCCTCTTTGTAATGAGCTATAAATCAAGATTGTATTTTGATTCGATTATATAAGGCACTAATACTGAGCAAATTAGATTATGCGTGAGTAGTATATGGTTCCGCTAGCAAAAGGACACTTGAGATGCTGGATACGATCCAAAACATAGCACTTCGAGTAGCCACTGGTGCTTTTCGATCAAGCCCCATAGCGAGCTTTCAAGTCGAAGCAGGTATAATGCCACTGGCTATACGAAGGCAAACTTTAGACTTGGCGTTCTATATAAAAAAAATTTCTAGACCCACTCACTCTTTAAAAAACACACTTGTACCAACAACAGATTCGTAAACCCACCAACTAAATTATCTTTAGCAGAAAGGTGCTCAATTACTCAATAACTCACAGACTTAGATCTCGCACCTTTTCCTTCCATTCTAGAAGTACGGCAATTGCAAACAGAGTCCTGGCTGTTACCAATTCCAAAAATATATAAAGTAAAATGTAACAAGGCCCTTGCTCCAAAATTAGGATTGGCAGAATTTAGGGACCTCCAAATGAAACATTCCAATTGGGAATATCTTTTCACAGATGGGTCAAAAACTCAAGATGGAGTCGGTGTGGCCACTGTTTCTGATAATGTGGAAATATTTTCATTACCCCCTTATTGCACTTCCTACCATGCAGAACTGTTTGCAATAAATCGTGCCGTTTGTAGTCTCACCTGCAATAAACAGCAAATTTATATTTGTACAGATTCGGAATCTGCCCTCAAAGCTATTAAAAATTCGTTTTCAACAAACTCATTAGTCACAGACACGGTTAGGCATATAAAAACATTGGAGGGTGTAGGATGTAAGATACAATTTTTGTGGTTACCGGGTCACTCAGGTATTAGAGGTAATGAGCTAGCCGATATCATGGCAAAACAAGCAATTACAGAAGGAACTCCAGTAGGGGATGCTTTTCCAAAAGAAGTGATAGCTTTGGTAAAGAGAAAGGCTTTGGAAAAATGGCAGGGTCTCTGGCATGTGTTAAGAGACAATAAGTTGAGAGTGATCGAGCCCTCTGTAGTTCCCAATCGAGGGGACCTTCAGATAAATAGAAGAGAAGAAATAATACTGACAAGGCTCCGAATCGGCCACTCGGCCATTCCCATAAGTAACTAATGACAAAGCGGACGCCCCCTCAATGGCTCTGCTGCGGGGTCAAATTAACAGTCAGGCACATTTTGACTGAATGTTATGGATATGAAACACAACGGAATGAAGTTAGATTGGAAAACGATATAACTGAAATTTTGAAAAATACGACCAAATTGGCAAACAAAGTCTTTTCATTTCTTCGAATAACGCACCTATACAACAAAATATAAAGTTTTCTGACTCTTTCTTTTGTTTTAAATATTTATGCTTTCAATTTATTGTTAAATTTAATCTTATCTGATGTAAAATAAATATTTTGCAAGGGCTAAAATGACCCGTAAGAGGTTGAGGAGCCCCGCCATTGTTAAAAATTAAAATAAAGTTATTTGTTTAATATACTTAATAACTTCTGTTTTATTTTACTTATTTTCATTTAGGTATTTATTTTATTTTCTCATAATGTATACTATTGAAATTTGTTTGGAAATATGTTCCTTAAACTACTTATGTATTTTAATGCACGTTGTGTCGTTGAGATCATATTCACCCATAACAGGTTTCATTAATGTGAAAAAATTCCCAATCAATCGTCAAGGGATCGACATATGCAGATATTTGAGCAGATACCGGTATTCCAAAAACCGAGATATTGGCGTTACGATTTTATTTAATCGACGTTGGTAAAGTTTCACTTGGAATATTGTCTTTGTTGCTAATTGGACGTTTCAATTATCTTTAATATTTCACTTAAAATACTCTCCGTATTGCTGAATATACATCCCAATCGGTCGTTTAGGGGATCAACTGATGAAGAAATTTTAGGATATCTCGAAATTACAGACCTATCGCTATTTTTTTTTCCGTCACGGGAAGTACTATTTCACTAGGCAACAGAATCCTTCATGTTGCTGAATTTAAGTTACAATCAATCGTCCAGTAATCGATTTATCGTCCTCTAATCGGCCAGCTATTATATTTCACTTAATTTTTTAAAGTATCATTATACATCATGGGTGATATATAGTCAGGACGTAGTCAATTTTTAAGTTTTTTTTTTTTTTTGTTGTTTTTTTAAGTTGAACGGTTTTTGATCCCTTGACGATGATTGCAAAGATGAGCAAAAATAATAAAATTCCAAGTGAGAATCTACTTATCTTCATAAAATAAGGCTATAAGGTTGATATATCGGTATTAGGAATATTGGTTGGTATCTTCTCAAATTTATATATGTATGTCGATCCTGTTTGGATTGATTGACACATTTATTATCGAAAGAATAACATTCAAGCGAAAGTTTACCAATCTCGATATGATAAAGTCATGGGCAAAACGGCCTTTGGTACCGGCCGATATCGATGATAGGCCAAAATGTCAATATGCCGATATTGAAATCGGTATTGCCTTAATTAACAGAGTAGGGCTTAAAAAAAAAATAAGACTTTCTAGCATGTCAACGGTAATATCAGAACATCTGTTAAGAGGTGACAAGGCAAGTGAAGGATGTAAATCCTTATACACCAACGCCATGTCGTAAAATGTACAGGTTATCAATTTTTAATTTTCTTGTTTATTAAACTACTTTAAAAAAAAATGTAACACATTTTTGGACAAAGTAGACTTTTTTCAAAACCAATTAAACCTATAACCAGATAAATTAATCAAATTCCAAAGCAATAATTCACTTAATCCGATTCAAACTTGTGACAAGACTTATAAGATAACCTTCTTAGTTATTTGAAAAAAAAATTTTTTTTAGCATTGCATCCACAAGATCATTAGGATTGTGGTTCTGATGGGATGAGGCTCCTTGAAGAGAGAGATTACGCCTGTTTCGAGGAAGTTTATTGTATAGATAAGGATAGATCCACCCGATATGCCGACATTGTAGCATTCCCTAAGACGAGAAAGTCAGCAATGATTTTGGATCCTACCGTGAGGTATGAGACCAATGACCTCGATCAGGCAGGCAAAGTGGAAAGAGAGAGAAAAAAAAGACCTGTGAGAAATGCATTCCTTTCCTTAGTGAAAAGTTCCACGAGAGTTTCGGGCCGAGAGAGTTCCACGAGAGAGGCTTTTGGTTCGGAGCTCGTGGAACGATACCGAACTCAACAAGGAGCTTCATGGAGGGCCATAGTGTCGACATAAAGGACGTGGCAAGGTTGGTGGAGAATATAATCCTCGACTCCCTGGGAATTATCCATCACCATGTGCATGGATAGAGAGAGAGTTTGTTCATGGGGGGAGGCATGCGTGTTTTACAGCATTTTTACATTATTTATTGACCACGTCCACTGCAATTTATGTATTTGTATTCATGTTATGAATTAGGTTAGGAAAAGAGAGGAGAAAATCTAGGGAATGAGAAAAATGTATAAGGTGAGAGAAGGAACAGAAAGGGATGTATAATGCTAATAAATGAATGAAAGAAATAGTAAAAAAAAAATAAAATAAAAAATATAGGAAAAAAATTATAATAAAAAAATATATATAGATAAAAAAAAAAATTGTATACTATGCTCAAACATATTGTTAATACTATATAATTGTATATTAGTTTTGGAAAATTGTTTGTAGCGATTAATAAGTATGCTGTGTTTAAAGCAACCCAATGTAATTGGGCAGCACCCTTTTATGATAATAAAGTGATACTTTCTCTGGGAGTAAATATCCCGAAACGTAAACTTGTTAACATCTAACTTTGATAATACAAGAAATATATTCAATTGTTGCTAATTGGAAGTAATTATTGCCAAATAAATAAGAATATTATACAACTTCCCAGAAAAAAGAAGATCTTTTTTCTTCTATCTTCTTCCCAGAAAAAAGAAGAAAGAAGAAGACCTTTTTTGGGGGAGGAGGAGAGGTGAAATAGAGGAGATCTTTTTCTTAAATATTTATCTCTTTAATGGATGAAGGGAAAACCTGGTGATGTATCTAAATATTTAGCTCACTATCTTCATTTATAATCGTTTGTGAAGAGACATCCTTAATTAGCAATAAGTCTAAACTTCAGAATTTATTATATTTATGCTACAATAAAGCATCCACGCTACCATACTAATGGTAGTAGAGATGAATCTTGGCTTTAAAAAATCATTAATTAAAGGTGAATATGAGATAACTTCAATAAATTCCCAACATGCTGATTTGGCGATTTCAAAACGAACTTAGCCTTAAGTAATGAATATATGTGTAATAATATTAAATTAAAATTGTTGATAGGTACGGGCTCAGTATGAGTTGTGCAAGAAACTAAAGGTTCCAGTATTAACCTATCCTGAGTCAATGAAATTGGCATTGCAAAATGGACCACATTGGCTAAGGCCTTTTGCGAATGTATCTGCGTAAGTATAAATTATTTATATTTGAATTAAAATTAATAAGAATAAATTATATTAATTTATATAATATAAATGACAAAAATTAATTTAATTTAATTTTAAAATTGCATTTAGTTAACTCTGGAATTTTCCAGGCCAATCGTCGACGTCTTTATGATTTCTTACCAACTTGGGATATGTTGTGTATATATAGTTTTCGTAGCTACTAATATAAAAAATGTAAGTACTGTTATTCCTTCATCTTGTGTTTTAATAGTAACAAGAATAGCAAATGTGGTGTATTTAAAAAAAAAAAAATTGAATCATTTGATTATTGCATCTTAATAGAGATATAAACCATTCAGGAATCAAAATGCTTCTTTTTTTTTATAACCCCCATTTTAAAGATAGTTTGTTTCTTATATATGCTGTAAGATTTTCATAAATTACAAGGAACATCTTACAGCATATATAAGAAACAAATTATTTGTAAGTGAACAGATATTTTTTTAAAACTATGTTATTTAGTAATGTAACATTGTGTCACAATATGAACTATGGCTATAGTGAAAAAATACTATTCACACTATATTTACTAAAGTAGGAGAAAAACGATGTATATATATATATATATATTTAACTCTTCGAACAAATTAAATTTTTATAAAATGGTAAATGTTTAGACTTCAAATATTCATAGTAGGTCTCCAACTCCAGATCTACAAATAAACGCCATCGGCTAGAGTTTGAAGTCTCCTTATCAGGACAATATGTTAGTTGTTTCCAGGGATTAAAATGTACAATAAATTTACCCAATTTTTTTTTTTTTTCCTCTTCTTCTTCCTTGCCTTTTAAGGTATGACGGATTTTCCCGGGACAGGAGTGAGGGCGATTAACGCCAGAGTTTAAAACCGCACCCCGGTCCCGACGTGCTCCACCCTCTTACCCAAATTTACAAAGTAACACTTTTTGGGGCCCAGCGTACAATGGTCCTAGATAAATACACAAAACGATCTTCGGGGCTCCCCAGTCATTATACGGCAATAAAACAGGACCAAAAATTTATGTTAGAGGCCCACCGGAGGCTCCAAAAATATTTGTTGATATAAACGAATCCAAAACTATTATTTTTAGGGCCAAATGTAAACGGTACTATGTAAATAAAAAAACAATAATCTTCGAGGTCCTAAGAGAGGGGCCTCCAATCATTCTACAGCGATAAAATAAAAAGTTAGGGATCTATCAGAGCCAAAAATAAATACGAACAATTATTTTTGGAACCAAACATACAACGCAACTAGATAGATACGAAATAACGATCTTCAGAGCCGTCGGAGATAGCTCCCAAATGATTCTACGGGGACAGAAAGATACAAAACTCAGAGAGAGCTCCCCAATTAGTCGACGGTGATAGAAGCTTACAAATATTTATGTCCGGAATCCATCAGAGGGGTCCCAAATTCTGCGGAAATAAACGAATATAAAACAATTATTTTGGGAGTCAAATATACAGCGCTAATACGGCAATTAAATAAATACAAAATAACGATCTTCGAGAACTTAAATGATGGCCATCAATCATTCCAAGGCAATAAAAAAGTAAAAAAACATTTATGTTGGGGCTCATCGGAAAGGCTCCTAAACCATGCGGGAAAAAAAACAATATATATTAATTATTTTGAGGATAGTAGAGAAATATAAAATAATGATTTTGGGACCTTCTCTCTGGGTTCCTCAGGCTCAGGGACCCTCAGACTAGGGGTCTAGTGGATCCGGTCAAACCACAAAGAAGTCACTTCCGTGTTTTACTGTTGGTTGCAAACATTCATCAGAAAATTCTTTTATTTTCAAATTTTTTCAAAAATACTGTCTCCTTCTGAAACCAAATATTTCAAACTTTGACTCATCTCTCTAAAAAAAAAAAAATTGTTCCATTCTTCTTCCATCCAATTTTCGTGTTCTTTGGTTAACTTAGGCCGCTTTCGCTTGTCTAGAGATCGAAAAAAAAATGGAGTTCTTCTGGCTACACAACCTTTAAGGCAAAACTTCTAATCAAGGACAAAACTTATGTTATAGTTACATTAGCTATTTTCTGAGCCAGTTCTCTGCTAGATGTATAAAATTTAGGTGGATAACAAAATAGTGAAATTGAAAAAATAAGGTAGCGTTATTCAGAAGACAAAAAAAAAAAAAAAAGATGTCAACACAATGGATTGGTCCCTTGACTTGTTGTTAATTGAAAGTAATGCTAATTTAAATGCATATTTAACTAAAATGTCTACAACATTAAATTAGATTACAATGAAGAACATAAAAAAACTTTTAAGTCAAAACATTCATGATTTTTATAAAAATTTGGTTTCTTCGTAGAGGTTTTCACACCACTGTATATGTAGAAAGATCATGAATACAGCCATACTTTTGACAGCTTAGAAACTTTTGACAGAAAATTTATCTTCTATTGAAAGAGGTGCTGAAATCACAGAGATAAGTCATTAACTATTAAAATAAAAATTATTATGGTAGGAAATACTAAAATAAACTACTTATGTCATTTTTCATAGAGGTAGTGGTAATGATAAATAGAAAAACGGTTGATAATGCATTTAAAAAGAGTTAAATTGCAAATTTAATAAACAATAAATAATGTCTGAAGTAAGCTTCAATCTTCTTTAAACAAAAAAGAACATGTAATAACTTTTTAAAAATAAATATAGATAAATTTAACAAAAAAAGTATAAACAATAGTACTATTCGTCTATTCTTTTAGGAGTTAATCAATGATGATTCATTAATAAAATCAATTATAACCACAAATAATTAAAAGCTTTTTTTAGTTTTAAACTTTATTGCTTTAAGTTCTATTTATTTAGTATATTATATTTAATTTAATTCACTTTCAGGTGGCAGATACATACATGACAGCACTAGATGAAAGGATATGGATGTTAATTCTTCTCCTCCCCCTTATCCTCATAAATATGATCAGAAATCTGAAATTACTCGCACCATTTTCTCAGGCTGCAAATGTTATCACTTTCGTTGGTCTGGGTATAGTTATGTACTATGTTTTTGATAAATTACCTCCTATTTCCGAAAGGGAATATGTTGGCAACCCCAGGAACTTCGCCCTTTACTTTGGCACAACACTTTTTGCTTTGGAAGCAGTGGGTGTGGTAAGTAAATATACTTGGTATTGATAAAACAATTGTTTTCTTTTAGCATAAATAGCAGTTACAGACCTCAATGATTATTTAATTTCAATCCTTCAAAAATTTATTAACAAATTTAAATTAAACAGTTTAACAGAGTTTAGTAATTATTTGAATATTGGATAGTACTCACTTCATTATATGATATAAATGATATGATTTTTTTTAATATACCTAATATAAACCAGTATGAGATCTTATTGAATAGATAAATTATTGTTTGATGATATTTTCCTCCAACATAATATTGATGTCACTCTCCTCTTCCTAATATATATATATATATATATATATATATATATATATATATATATATATATATATATATATATATATATATATATATTTACAGGGTGTCGCAGTTCTTAATCATCAAACTCTGGTAGGTGATTCTGCATAAAATTTCCAACAAAAAATTTCATTTGATGCATGAACTGATTCCAAATAAGAGTGAAGTCTAATTTTGTATTTTCTTCAGGTGGTCACGTTTTCTCTTACATAGAAAGCCGTAACAAAAAATGTATTTGAGTCAGTTAATTAAAAATTGCTTCATAGTAAATTAGGCAAAATTGACTTTTCTAAAAATGAAAAAATTGATGTCAGCTCATAAGAAAAAGAAGGAATTTGTAATAATTTCTTGGTTGTTATTTTTATAATTTTATTTATACCTTATACCAGAGTTATTTTATAATTTCATTTGGGATATTTTTATTTCTAATTTCTATACCTAAATTTCTGTATAATATAAGTATTTACCAACTAAAAAAATGTTAGTTTGGTGAAAATTTAATTTTTTGGATCTGCAAAAAATTGGAATTAGCCAATAATATTGAGATCGTAAATCTATGATTTCCTGTCCTACAGTACCCTTTAATAATATCCCTTATATGAACAAATCAGTTACCTAGGACTACACCTGGACAAACTTCTAACTTGAAATCTTCATACTAGGCTAAAACTAAAAAAAAAAAAACTCGGCATTTCTGGCTACTGCAACAATTACTAGAAAAATGCTCTAAGCTTCCAATTAATTACTAAAGACTCATATACATGACTATAATAAGGCTTAATAGGAATTAAGGAGTTGAAATATGGGGCTCTGCTAAGCCATCAAATTTTTCTCGAATCCAATCTTTCCAATCCAAAATCCTTGGTGAAATCCTCAACACTCCTTATTTCGTTATGAATAACGTAACATATCATCCATAACAATCTTCATGTTCCTCATGTTTCAGACTTGCCCCAATCCAGATACTTATCCTTCCATTATAAACTTCAGAACCATTGCAACCCTCTTGTTTCTAACTTTGCTTCCTCTTAAATTCCCGATAATCCTCCAAGGTGTCTGTAAAGAAGATGGCCCTTGACCTCCTAATGTAGACATATTATTAGGATGCTACCAGTGGATAGTTTCTCAACAAGTGTTTTCATGTCATTATATTCATTTTTAAAAATTTACTGGTTTTATTTTTTTAATAAAGTTGTAATTATCATGAATAAATTTTAAAAAAACATAGAGAATATTGAAAAATAATCACATCTTATATAGTAATTAGAACTGTAGGACAATTATTATGAAGTCTTAATAATTTTTATCTTTTCTTTTTTTTTATCCTAAACTTTGATTTTTGGCTTTCCACATGTGTCTTCCACCAGCCCATTATATATCATAATCAGTTTTATCAATTGATTGGTATTTTGTTTTATTAATTGCTAATTTTTGTATTCTATTTATATTTTAGATAATAGCATTAGAAAATAACATGCAAACACCTAAGTCATTTGGAGGATATTTTGGAGTTCTCAACAGGGGAATGACAGGCATTGTCATTATGTATGTATTCGTTGGATTTTTCGGTTATATTAAATATGGAAATGACTGCCTGGGAAGTGTGACACTTAATCTTCCAGCCAAAGAAATGTAAGTGGTACTTAAATAAAATAAATTTAACTATTGAATAATGAAATGTAGTAACAAATAAATGTCACAATACCAAAAAAAATTTATATTGAAGTATTATAAGCTAAACAATTCAAAGCAGAACAAGGCAATAACAATCTTCCTTCTATAGCTATATGTTTTTAAAAAAATAATATAACTGCTGTAGTTACATAATAATGTAAAAATTGGTAAAGGTATAGCTAATTACTTTTCTTTTTTTTTCAAATTCATTAATTTCAATTATAAATTTTATTTTAAATAATTATAATCTTTATATTTCTTCTCAGGAATCAATGCAGCATAGCCCCATTAATGCCAATTATTTGGTATCTTATACTTGGTCAAAACAGGCTATTAGCCTTTGTGTATTATATCCCATCCAAAATTATTACAATAATTTCTAACCAAACCATAATATTTGCAGATATATTATTTTATAGGCAAACTCATCCTCAATACTGCAGAAATTGCAGATTGATAACTCAATCAACACCAAATTAAAAAGGGGTGAGTTAAGCTAATAGTGACATAGTATGCAGTCCTGTTAAACTCCTAAAATTAATCCTGCTCATTGTTAGAATTGTTTCAATTCTCTTTGTACAGGATCCTTCCAATAATAGCTTAGAATACATCTCTTTCACAATGGAGCCTCACCTAATAGCTTTGCCTATTTACAGCTTTTTTGGATAGATAAATCCCACCTAACATCACAGATGGGCTCTCGGACAAAAGGCTCCAACTTTGGGCCTTCCTGCTTGTTTCCTAAACAGTTCAAGTGTCCAGTCACCCATTTAAACCAATCCATACCGCTTTTGCATTCATTTACCAACTTAAACCAGGTTGCCTAGCCACTTAGGGTACCAATAGTCGCATGGCTATTGAATATCAAGATTAACCTGTTCTTCAGTCCTTAAACCTCTAATAATTGTGAGACTGGCATATATTATAAGCTAAATATTTAAGTCATAAGCCTAACATTGTCGTTCTCTGTTGGATTTTTTTTAGATTAGCGCAATCAGTGAATGTGATTTTTGCAATAGCCATTTTCATCACATATGCTCTACAGTGTTATGTGCCAGTTGAAATCATATGGAACACTTATATGAAGAAGAGATATGAAAACAGCAAGCATCGTCTCCTTGTAGAATACATCATGAGGACTGGTGTTGTCATAACAACTTGTAAGTTCTCTAAATGTTTTGAATATTTGAAAGTTTCAACTATTATTATATAAATAATTAAAGGAAAAAAGTTTTTTTTCTTGTATATTGTTCACTTAGATTCAAGTGATTGACATCACTTTGTGATCTATCAACTTTTAGGAACATGGAAACCATAAATTCAGTTTTACTGAAACTATTTTGTTTATTTTATATTATATGGTATGTGTTTAAACAATTAAGGTAATTAATAAACCTGAAGCAAATAATAAGCATGATGAACTGACAAAAGTCAAATGAGATATACACTTTATCAAAAAACATTTTACTTCTATATTTAAACAAATTACCTTCAAAATATTTGACAGAACAGGCATTTTTAAATTTATATAATATTACATGGCCTCGGGACCTTCTAATATAGAACTTTAATTTGAGTTCTACCAATGGGTAGTTTCTCTTCATGTTGTACATGTCATGTTACCAATGTCACATTTACTTGTTGTATTGTTCATGTAATACAGTTGTAAATTTCATTAAAAACAAAAAAAATATATAATATTACATAATTCACAAATAAGTAATCATTGAATTTAAATATTACTTTTATTTGTTGTATTTTGTAGTGTATACGAGTTTTTACTAATACATACAATGATTCTTTGTAAATTGTTTTATAGAAAATAAATAAACAGTCAGGATTAAAAGTATTTGCACATCAGTTTTCAAACTTATAAAACAAAAAATATTTATACTATCATCAGGGAGTTATCCAAAATAAAAAATAAAAGACATTTCATATTAGCACCAAAATTTAATGAAGCAAAATAAAAACTTAAAACTATTGTTGTATGCATTAGGCCTTTCTAAATCCCGTAGCAGGGAGGAAATAAACCTAATGCTAAATAAGATCAGACGGGGTGTTCAAATAATGTTAAATTAAAGCGAAGAAAAAAAAGAAATAAAGGAAGGAGACGATCTGGAGTGAGGGCCACAAATAGGCTAAATAGTGGCAAAACTATTTTATTAAAAGCCTACATTTTGACCCGACTTTGCAGGTCTTCTTCAGGACTAGAACGGATAAGATACAAAAAGATAGAGAATTGTGGAAGTTACATAATATTTTGACAAAAAATTATAAACAATGTGAATAAGCTTATTAAAATTATAAACAGTAAGTACATTAAAATACAAACAGAGTAAGCTAAATAAAAAGATCCTAAACTGAAGTAAATAGATGGTAACAATTGTTGTAGTGTAATATATAATACATGCAAATGTGAATACACTTCTAGAAGAGATTGAAAGAAAAGGAAAAAGAATATAATATGAAATAATAGAAATGAAGAAATGTGGAGAAAGAAAACCAAAAAATAAGTAAATAAAATTAGAAGAATAAAAATAGTGACATACAGGAGTGTTCAACTAGGAGTTTCACTTATAACTGGAAAATCATGGTAAGGGCAGGTATTGGGGAATTTGCTGACTTGTTTGGGTAATAGGGAAAAACCTAGAAAATTACAGTATCTAATATTTGAAGATAAGGATGGATACAAGGGAAAAATTACTATATCTATGAATTTATTAAATTATAAATATATACATATACTTATACAATAGAATTAATAGATTGTAGATAAGAGTACAATGTGAATAAAAACAAAAAAGGAAGAAGTAAAACGTACATAGAAGTAAAATATAAATATACAAATAAGATACCATAAATTGCTGAACTAACATAGAAGTATAGAGAGAGGAAAAAAATGAATAATTACAATTATATTTGGTTGTACATATGTAAGAAAATTACATTTAAATATTAGATAATATTGAGACATGGTTAAAAAGTAAAATGAATACAAAGTGAAAACGGATGATCATACATTGATGTAGAATGTAAATATAAAATTAAAATAAAATATAAGAGAGATCATACAAAGCGTAAATACTTAGAATAATGAACAATTAAATTGAATTAATCAATAAAAATTGAAAGTAGATAAAAATAGTAAGATGTAATATATAAGTTATTTTTTCACTTATAAGATTTAAAATTTATGCCTATATGTTAAAGAAATACAGTTGTTATCTACTTTATGATTAACAGGATTCTGTTCCATGTGACTGTGGATGGATTCGGAAATGAGTCTTTTTTCATGGTTAGGGACCGTGGCAAGAATAGAGGTTTTTACAAAATCAAATGAATGATTGAGGGTTAAGGCATGTAGTGATAGTTTGGAGGCGGAAGGGTTCAGGGAAGTTATGGATGTTTTATGTTGGTTCAGATAAGATGCACCATAATCTGCAGAAATGTTTTGGTTCAACCTTCTGCCAATAGGTGCTAAATATTCCCTGCCCTGTCGCCTCCAAACCGATGAGATACGGTGTTGCACAACTCACTATTTGATAGGGTGAGCAACAGCTTGTCGTCAGATTCCGGGAACAAATTAAGAGGAGCTCTGATAAGAAAATGACCAGTAGTTAAAAAATCAGAGTTATTCTCATCTTCCGAAATTGAACACAAAGGCCTAGAGTTGAGTATGCCTTTAACTCGGGCAAACGCTGGGGTCAAATCCTCAAAAGTCTGCCTCCCAATTTAGCTTATCAGGAGTTTCTTTGCCGTTCTTGCAGCGGCCTCCCATAGTCCACCGAAGTTGGGTGCCTGAGGGGGTATGAATTTCCATGCAATCCCTTTGGGAACGAGAGCGCGTGCGATGATATTTCTTTTTTGACCATCCAAACGCTTAAGTCTGAAATTGGTTCCATTATTGGTTTGCGGTAGCCTCCGGCGCGCCTTGAACCTGTCCAAAGCTGCAAAGAAGAAGACGAAGGTGTCAATAATGACGAGATGGCTTTTATGTGCACGGTCATACACACGATTATGCACATATATGCCTTTCCTAAAGCCGCGTTGACTCGTTAATGAGAAACGGTCCTGCATAGTCTAATCCTGGGCGAAGGAAGGGGCGATTATCGGAAACTCGCTCACTGGGAAGCGCAGCCATCAGAGGATGAGAAGGCATGGCCTTGAGTTTGGTGCAGTGGATGCATTTGAAAATCCTGCGACAAACGTACATCAAATCAGATATCCAAAAACCATTCCTCAACAGTGCCAACGTGAGTATAGGCCCTGAGTAGAAGTGGTTTAGATGAATATCATCAAAGATCAACTTAGCCAGGTGAGAGTTCCGTGGCACTAGCATAGGATGCTAAGTAGAAAATGAGATCGTTGCGTTGCATAGTCTGCCGCCCAACCTGACAATCCCCTCAATCAAGACGAGCAGTGGATAAATATTTGAGAAGAGCGACTTTGGTTTTCGCTTTTATAAGCGACACTTTCACCTCATAGAACGAATTCTCCGCGCGGAGGTATACAGCAGCAGCATACGCTCTATCAGAAGCGTCGCGAAACTCAACAAAAGTAATATTATAAAATTTCAATAAAAACGAGACACAGATATTTGAGTCAGAGAGAGCCTCCAAAGCGAGCTGACGCCACTCATCCGCGAGCTTGAGTGGCAGAGGTTCATCCCAATCCATCTGAGATTTCCAAAGATCTAGTAGGATCAATTTGGCCAACAAGAACATGGGTTCTAAGAATCCGATGGGGTCGAATATCCTAGCAACCGAAGATAAAATTGAGCGCTTGGTGGCTTATTAAAATGGCGGTGGACGCACCGAAAACGAAAAAGCATCATCGCAATGTATCCACACCATACCAAAATCTCCATAACATTGGAGTCTCCGGTGAGATCAAGTGACTCTGCGATAGTAGCATCGCGATCGGATATGACTTCAGCTCTCATGGATGCCCATTTCCCAAGAGTGAACCGTCTTTAGCGAAGAGTCCACACAGCTCTCGCCGCAGAGCAACCGCCTCCTGAACCGTGTCCATGAGAATATCATCGACGTACATGGAAGTGCAAATTCGACTTGAAGCTAACTGGAAAGCTGTCCCTTCATCCTCAACTAATTGTTGAATGGTGAGCATTGCCAAAAAGATACAAGGCTTTAGACCATAAATCACCGTGTTGAGTTGAACTCCTCAAGCTGGTCGGAGGTGTTTCTCCAAAATACATGCTGCTAGCCCATGCGGGTTATCATATGTGGAATTTAGTTTGTCCCATGCTAGGATGTAGGATCGGTTCTCAATGAGAAACCGTAAAATGAGCGCTGCCGCTTCTCCTTTTAGAGAACCTAGCAGGTAGTGAAGCTTCTCCACGTTCGCAAGACCGTCGACGTCGTGAAATAGGAAAATGAAAATGCCCCTAAAGTGTGTCAACTTCCAAAGGTCTTTGGAGAATTCCGGTGTGGAAATTTTGGGCAGATATGCTTTAGTGCTAGTGTTATTAGCGCTCAACGTTTTAGTGAGTTGGTTCAGATCAATTTATCCTGGTTGGGAAGGGGTTGCTTCAGCTCGCTCTGCTTCTCGAATCTTTATGAAACATCCTTTAGCAATCCGGATCTCCATAAGATATCATCGAAGATTCCATTCCACTGCTGATCAGGAAATGCATTAGCTTGATTCATTTCAAGGTACGAATCGGCTAAATCGTCGAAATTTCGTCCAAATTCTAGCCAATTAGTGTTGGCTATTTCAAACGTTGCCTTAAGAAAAGTCCTCTCACTAGAGTCAGTAACGGCATTTCTGCCGGCTTGTGCCGCCCCAAGAATATTGCGGCGCAAAGCGCGTAGTTCTCGTTTTAGTGGCAACAACTGTTGTTCAAAATCCACGAGAGATTGTGTTATTATAATATAGTAAAGCCCAAACAGAGAGTGGCAGGGATTGACAGCACAGAAGATATGCCAACAGAGCTAGAAAGAAAGTGAATATGGCGGCAAGTAAAATAAAATTAATCTAGCTATAAGAATTGAGCTAGCTAAGTAAAATGGTGAACTGAGGAGAGATTGTAAATGTTTGATTGATAGATGAAAGCTGAGAAGTAAATAAGTGAGCAACCATCTATAATAATAATTAAAACCGAGAAGAGTTAAACAACCAGCTTGGTCAATAGATGGCCTGTGCGAAGGAGCTCTTGGTATTATCATATTGATAAATGAGAATTTCAAATATAAAATTTAAAGGCTAAATATAAATGAATGTGGTCTTAACAACTATTTATATCATATAAACTGCATATCTTTATTGAATAAAAAAAATATTCAAAATAAGCAATGAACAATATGAATAAAAGTATTCATAGACTTTCTTATTATATTAAATTTACTGTATTAATATGTTAAATTTGGATTAAAACATTTATTAATATTTAGTGGAGCTACCTTTAGATTTTAACACACATTTAAGACTCTGTGACATTGAATTAACTAATGCTTACATCAATATTCAGGAATTTGGTTTCACTTTTCCGTAATAACATTTTAGAAAATTACAAACATTGTATTTTCATACTTGATCTCAGAGGTATTTCCAAAGATGGTCAATAGAATTAATACTGGGTGGCTGTGGTGGGTTACTATCCATTTTGGTTCATTGGAGAGATGTTTTTTCGAGCTCATCTCCTTCTGAAATTTATTATTTTGTTAATACTGTTGAATTATTGACTCACTAGTTTATATCTTTCATCAAAATGTCCTTTCACTAATTTGGGCACTAATCCTAGGATTATTTTTCACTTTTCGTACAGTAAGTGAATAAGAGAGTAATTGTTTTAGGGCATTCTCCTGTTCTCAAATCAGAAATATAGCCCCCTTGAATTCAAATTCAAAAATCTCTATTGATCAATAATATATTTTACAATAAAATGATTGTCACTCATTGCTGTGAATATACTCTAATTTCCCTTACTATCTCAGTCATTTCCCTTAATTTAAAATCCACTTCAGCTGTACAGTGGATCAAAAAAGTGTTGGCAGACCTGACTTTTTTTCATGTTTCATTATGAAAAAATCCTAAATTGATTAATTAAACATTTTTATTTAATAAAAGATTTTAAAAAATACATAATTGTGAAAATAAATATTTAAATTAACTTATTTAAAAAAATCACTTCAACAAAGTCTGGCAAAAAGTATTGGCACACTTTCATTTGAGACACACTTTTATTTCACGAACTGGATATGTATTAATATTTTGTCATCATACCATTGGTATCTATGACACCGTGGAATCGTCTTAGCATCGTCAAAACAAGATTTTGATTTAGGTATAGCACATTTTATGCTATTTCTCTGACAAAGTTTCTTTGAAATACTTTTTTGAAGAAGTTTTATCTTTTCTTACTTTAAAATCCAACAGGTACGTAGATGTTCTATAGCATTTATGTCTGGAGGCTGTGGTGGTATTTTCCATTGGCTATGACCAATGTATAGCATCCATTCTTTTGTTTTATTTGCTGTGGGCATCATTGTCCTGTCCGAAAGTAAATGCATCTTTGATCCCCATATTTTCGTCTCTACTTAAAATGTCGATGTATTGGTTGGCTTTCATAATATTGTCAATAAAGATTAACTTCCTAACACCATTCCATGATATGCCCCCTCAAACTTGGGCATTTCCATCTTGATGTCATACAGTGGGCCTCAAATGTCGAGCTTAAAACTCAGCACCAAGTTTCCACCAAACGTATGTCATCAACAGAATGAAATATGTTAAAACTTACTTTCATTTAATGAAAAACCATTTTTCCAGAATTCAAAGTCTTTATCAACTTAAGTTTTGGCGAATTCAGGTCTTCTTTTGTGGTTCACCTCTGTAATAAAAGTTTTTTTCCATTGAAACCTGGCATAATAATTGTATATATATGAATTCCATTTCTAACAGAAGGTGGTATTTGAAGTATATGCGACCTCTTCTGCTTTTTCAGCGGTTGACAAAGTGCGATTTTGCTCAACAATTAGATTTAAATACTTTTGTGTTCTCCCATTTAATTTTGGTGGCCCTTCTGAATGGGATTTATTTAAAACTTTCTAAGCTTTTCTGCAATATTCTGAACATTACTAATACCAATTTTTAATTTATTCATTATTTGTTGGTAGCTAAGTCCATTAGAATATAATTTAATGATGGTTTTTTTTAAGCTAACACAATACTGACCGGTTTACTCATGTTGCTATGGCAAATATACATCAAAAGTGCCAATACTTTTTTGACCCACTGAACATACATAGCTATATAATATACCACAGTGAGAATAATATGCACACCAACACAGTCTGTATCCCAGGGACTAATTATTTTAATTATATCCCACTAAATATAATTAAAAGTTTTAATAAAAATTTAGAATTATATTGATAAAGTTTATGAATACTTTTGACTAGTGTTGTTCATTGATCATTTTGATAATTTATACACCTCATATGATCAAAAATGAGTTTTTTATTAATGTGTTGATTAGAATATTGTAATCAATATCTAGAATAAATAATGATACATGTATTTTTTTTTTTTTTTTTTTAGTTCTTCTTGCTGTCGCTATTCCCAGACTTGCTCTCTTCATCTCATTGTTTGGAGCTCTGTGTTTATCAGCTTTAGGTATTGCATTTCCGGCCATCATTGAGATTTGTGTCTACTGGCCAGATCGTCTGGGTCCTTTTTACTTCACTCTGTGGAAAGATCTTCTGCTGATATTATTTGGAATCCTTGGCTTAGTAGTCGGAACTGGTACCAGCATCAATGACATCATTGTTTCCTTTCAATAAGCAATCAATATTAAAAACTGGACATATCATTAGAGTTGCTTTTGCCACATTATTGTTTACTTGTCTGCTTTATCTGAGCCTAGGATTCCAATAAGTTGCCTTAATTAATTTAATTTAACTTTAATTTTTTCTTACAGATAATTTAGACAAGGAGGCATATGAAATAAAAAATAAAAATAATATATGTATATATAGATCTGAAAGTTGGTGGAAAAATTGATTGGGTGTCAGAAACAGTGTGTACGAACTTTATGACCTGGTTAGGTAGATGATATTGTTTCAGTTATTATTCTAAATATAATGCTCAAATCAGTTTTAAAACAAACAATGTGTTATGAAAGAAAAGTGTTATAATGTACTTTTAATTAATAAGGCTAGTTATCTGACTGAAAATGCTAAATTTTTTTATTAAAAAAAAAATATGTAACAAATTAATCCAAACTTTAGACAACCTATAGATTGTAGAGTGATAAATTTCTTTTAGTATCATTCTTGGAGTAGTAAAATATTTGGTGTGAATATTATTGGGCGATATTACTGGATGGTCTGATGAATTATTATTATAATTGATTTGACTAAATTATCATTGAATGAGATTTTACTTTGTTGGCATATAAAGTAATTTTTTTTAGATTTTGCAGATTAATCAATTGTCAGTTTGGATTAAAATTGACATTTTTTTTTTCATTTTCCAACTTAATTCAATAAGCCTAGAACTAAATTATAATTATTTTAAACATATTATTTCTAAAACAATGAATTTCCAAGACCTCATGTACATTTATTGATAAACTATCTTAAAAATAGTTTTAGAATTTATAGATTGGATGGTATACAATTTGTTCTTAACACAATTATTTAAGTAAAATCTGTATTAGAATTCATATTAGGGAAATGGTTAAGATATCGTAGGAAATGTATTGCTGATTAAGTGATGTTAATGAAGATGGTCTTATTGTTGCATAACTATGCCGTATCCTATCTCACTTTATAAAAGTTTTATTTTGCAGATTATTCACTATATCAAAAGTAATTTAACTAAACTGATCTACTATTAAAATAATATACAATTTTTATGAATTGACATAAATTATGGTAACTTACATTCATAATTTATCACTTGACAATATTTTGGAAAAGTTTTGGCTTTTGAAGCGACCAATTAAAAAAAAATGTGTTTATTTAATAATTATCAAAAATCCCATCTTGGTGTTTTACAAATGTTATCAGTAGCTAATGGAATACATGGGTCTATGCTGGTTATTATAAAATAAATCAAAAATTTAATTATTTAATAATTTTGAATTTGTTTCTATAATGAAAATGGCAAGCTGTCTTATCATTAAACAATAGTTAAATTACAGTTAGCTAAGTGATCTGATTACATATTAAAGTCCCATGAAACAAAGAATATAAAGATTAGAATTTTAAAATTCTTTTAAACCCGTAAATATAAAATAAATAAATTTAATGACTTTATGGATCAACTTTTACAATAACAAACCTAAGCATATTTAAGTATAAAATCTAACATTAACTTATGATATTTTTATGAAACAATAATTTTTTACCGGACACAACAATTTTACAATATAAAATAAGAATAGTGAAATTTGTGAATATTAATAATTAGTTATAAGAGGTAAACAATTTATTTTGATATAGTAGATAGTTTGTAATGAATGCCAACGCAAACGTGGGACTAGTTTACTGCATTTTACTTCATGTATTTTATAAATTTTTATGAACTTGAGTCCACCAAGATGTATTAAAATCAAATTAAATTATTTTAATTTCGCTTCAATGTGAATTATGCTATCTATGCCATGCATAGACTGAAAAATTACTAAATATAATGTGCTACAATAGTAGCATTGTTATGTAAATAATATATAACGTATTATTTAGTAAATATCCGTAGATAAGCTGTTGTTAATTAATATAGTTTATTATATAAAAACAATTTTTTTTATTCTCTTTTTTTCCATTACTGAATACCTATTTTCATCTTTTTACTTTCACTTGGGTATATTTTATATGTATTTATATACTTGTTATTTATTAATATGAACACTAAAATAAAAAAAATATAAAGAATAATTATGCTATCAAGCATTTATACAAGCTACAGCGACAGAACAATATATTATAAATTTACTAGTACTTAAAATACAATATCACAAGAGAAAGAAATGAAGTAAAAAAAAAAACTTGTGAAACGGCTTATATTTGAATTAGTTAGGGAAACTATTAGGATCATCTGATAGAGTTATGCACCTTACAGGACTTTGGAATCCTTAACAATTTTCCTTCTCTTAGACTTAAACTTAGCTGCCCTCTCGATCCATTCGCACCCAAATACCCAAGATCATCCTCCACATCCTGCAGATTAAAATTGAGGTATATATGTTGTTTGAATTGATAACATTATTAGGGTACCAAAATATTTACACAAGTATGTTGTGGAGCTGAAAGATCTTGCGACAAGGTAAGAATGGCATCGAAATGATGGATTGTTTTTGATCAAAAATATTGTGATAAATGAGGAAATAAATCACATGAAACATGTGATAAATGAGGAAAATACAAAGGACATTTTCACTCTACCTACAGGTGAAGAAGATGAAAGATATATTTTGACGATAGTTCAATCTTTCATCCATGTAAGAAACCAAGTTTACAGTTGAAATAATATGAGAGAAGAAATACAGAGGTGAATAATTTTATCAAACTGCACATATTTCACTCTTAAAAAGCAGGTATTATAAAATTTAAAAATTAAATTATTCAACTGGTCCTTACACATGGTTCAGAATGTTGAATAGTGACTTTATTCCAGGAACATGTCCTTCTCAGATTTGATGGGAAGGTAAGAAAAATACTTGGTGGCTTTTATGAACTACTAACCTGAAGAAGGAATAATAATAGAATTTTATAAATAAGATATATGCTTTATATACAAGATATATGCTTATATATAAGATACAACAACTAGATGGGCCATAAAGTCAGATAACTAACGACTTAAAAACGTTTGCAGCTAAAAATCATATACCTTGGTGGAGTTCCAGAAAAACCGGTACTTTTTAGAGCTCTAGGAGGATTGAAACATGTCAGATGGATGGCAAATGAAATCTTTTCGAAGACTAGTTCACCCTTTCTAAAGAAGAAGAACAAGGACGAGAATTCGGTAATATTTACTCCATGTCGTTGAAGTTTACATTAACAGCTGGTTTCCCGCACTGATGAAAAATTTAAAAGAGTATGAAAGTGCCAACGAAGAAATTTCGAAGTGTGAATTGAAAACGTTGCTCAAAACATTTGTGGTCCCTTACAGAGAAACTAGCGGCGCTTGCATTTTTTGATGCCAAAGTTTCTCAAGAATCTAGGTCAAAAAATTTAGATGCTTCAAAAGTCAATAAAGAATTACTGGTACGGGCTTAATAAATAGACTCAGGTGCCATTTTTGAAAAGGATATGCAAGAATTTGTTTCGAGTAATACTATGAAGCTTTTCAGAATTTTCGATCTATCACCAGTCTTTACAAATAAATGTAAACTGGATAGAAAAGGAATTTCAGTAGAATTGCTAGGCAGTCAATAGTTCAATTAAAGTTGTAAATGACGTTGTTGGATGTAGAGTTGCAGTAACGTAATAGTACAAAAAACTTCATGCAACAAATGAACAGAAACAGACCTATCTGAACAGCAAAATTATCTGACCCTAAAATATAACATAATCCCTTAAAATAATTTAATTTCCTAAACCGTTTTCATTTATTAGGGGGACCGAAAAGTAATGTCGTTTGTGAGCGTGTCACCATTTGATTGTTATTTGTAGTGTTGCCCAAACGCAAGACCAAGACCAAGACCGCCTCTGTCTCGTCTTGGTCTTGCGTCAACGAACCTTGGTCTTGGTCTTGCGCGCTTAGTGTTGGTCTTGGTCTTGGTCTTGCGCAAGAGTCTTGCAGTTAACCATCAGCTTATTGCTATTTATTAATATGCTACTTTAAATCTTAGAAAGACGCTACAAAATAATTACAATTAGATGTTTTATTGACATAAACATTGTAAAGTGCAACTAAATCAATAAAATTAAGAAAATGAAGAAAGATAGTGATAATCCTCCTCCATCCCTCTAATTATATGGAATGAAAGAGTTGTAGAGTAAAGAGTGTAGAGTAAAAATCTATTGTGTCCACTTACAAGACTTTCCTATATATTTTTTTTAAAAAATACAACTTTAAATGCGTCCATTAGACAAAAATAATTGAAATAGATTCATTTTCCTAAAAAACGATCAGTGAAATCATTAGGGTATGATTCCTTAGATGAAACAAGCAATGTAAACGGATAAGTGAACCACCATTAAAATCAGCGTATAAAAAACAATATATACTATAATAGCTAAAACTGGTCCGATTCAGATAATTTTTTTTGTCAGAAATTTAATGATATTTTAAAAGATAGGCTTCAAAACAGACTCAGAAATGTTTAGATCCGTTTAAAACCGACAGGTGTATACGTGGTGAGTTAGCTCCCCAAAACAATTTTCTTTTTTCCTTGAATTGTCTCGAGAATTCACCAAAAATACAAAAATTTAAATGACTTCAAGTAGAAAATTAGAAGAAAGTTTCATTAAAATCGTTAGAGCCGTATAATGTTAATTTTAAACTTCATAAAGCATAAATAAATATGTTTATACAATTAATTGATTAATGTTTTTAGCACATACGTTAGATTCGCACATAAAATTCATAAAACCTTTTAATAGTAGTTTAGTTATTTAGGGGTTATTATTTTGGGCACTTAGAGATTATGAACAAGTGCCGCGCGTCCTTCACGTTCTTTATTTTTTTATTTAGATTTTGATTGAAACGTTTCTCCATAACGAAGTGCACACAGTGGTACCAAATGGATAAAATCAACTACCAACCAATAATAAATAACTACCAAAATCCATCAGGTATGAGCTATCCACGGCCAGATTTTGTTGTTTTT